TTCCTTTGACCTCATGATTCTCATTTGCTCTGACATGCAGTGTGAGCTGTAGGGTCTTATATAGACAGGTGGGTGGCTTTCCTAATCACGGTCAATCAGTATAATCAAACACAGCTGGACTCAAATGAAGGTGTAGAACCATCTCTGGGATGATCAGAAGAAATGGACAGCACCTAAGTTAAATATATGAGTGTCACAGCAAAGGGTCTGAATACTTATGACCATGTGATATTTCAGTTTTTCTTTTTTAATAAATCTGCTAAAATGTCAAAAATTCTGTGTTTTTCTGTCAATATGGGGTGCTGTGTGTACATTAATGAGGAAAAAAATGAACTTAAATGATTTTAGCATATGGCTGCAATATAACAGAGTGAAAAATTTAAGGGGGTCTGAATACTTTCCGTACCCACTGTAAATAGTGTGTAGAGGGGCTTCGACAGTACCTCTCCACATCAAGACAAGTTTTGGAGCAGATTTCTACAGCAAAAATATTTGAACAAGTTGCATTCAGTAGCTTTAAATAAAGGATCTGAATACTTCCTCCACTACTGGTGCTAACAGGCAAACTATAAAGTCAACCAGAGGCAGAGCAGGAGCAGGTCTTCACAGACACGGGTGTGCGTCTCAGACTCTGACAAACAGAAGCAGGGCAGGATACAGTTTTAGTCCATGACTATTTTGCTACAAACATTTACCCACCAGTGTGGCAGGTGGTCTTCTGAGATTTACTCACTAAATGGAAAATCTACCAGGTTTTTGGCTCCTGGTGGGTGTTAACTTCTGACCCTGTTTGCAATTTATTTAAAAAACCCTTCTGTTTTAATTTCTTTAATAAGAGAAATGGTATAATAAGTTATACCATGATACTTTTGAAACCACGATATTTTCTAGGACAGTTATCATACTGGGAAATTCTCACACTGTTGCTACCCTACTTCTCACCTGTGTGGAACTTCATGTGGACCCGCAAGGCCCCGCTCTGTGTGAAACTTTTTCCACAAGTGCTGCAAGGAAACAGCCTTTCACCTGTGTGGATTCTTAAATGAGCAGTCAAGGATGAGCCGCGCCTGAATCCTTTCCGACAGGTGTTGCAAAAATGCAGCTTTTCACCTGTGTGGATTCTCTTATGGATAATTAAGGCACTACTACAAACAAAACTCTTCCCACATGTTCCACAAGAATACGGTTTCGCACCTGTGTGAATTCTCAAATGTTGGTTCAGTTTGTTAAATTCTTTCCCACAAGTGTCACATTTGAAGGACTTGTTACTACCTGTGGTAGGATCGGACTCAGTCTGTGACATGGGAGAGTTGTCCACATTGCTACTGTGACTGGTTGATCCTGAGTCTAAATGCTGGTTTCCTCTCTGATCCTGGCTCTCAGCTACAGGAGAGCTGTGAGAGAGGAGCTGCTGGTCACTGTCTGGTTCTGGTTCACTGTGGTCACTGTCCTCATAAGTAGAAGTCAACATAAAGGGATCAGTCTCCTGCTTCAGTCCAAGCTGCTCTCCCTCCTGAATGCTGTGGCAACTTCATATCAGTCAAAATGAATACAGTAAATAAAATTTTTAACAATTTCAATATAGTTTAATTTTATTTGTATGTCAATCATCTTAGGCCATTTTATATTGCAAGTTCTAGACCTTATATTATTATAACAAAGACCTAACAAATCCCCCTTGAGCAACACTGGGTCACACTGGGGAGGAAAAACTCCTTTTAACAGAAGAGACCTCCAACAGACCCCGGATCAGAGTGGACGGCCTTCTGCCTCGGCTGGTTGCAGTGAGTGGATAGAGGAGAAAGAACAGAAATAAAAGCATCAAGACACAACTAACAAACACTGGACAAGTCAATGTGGCTGGTGACTGTTCATCAAGAATGTTCAGCTCCAGATGAACATGAGTTAAGACATGTAATGGTGGTATACAGAAATAAGAGGGAGAGAAGAGCCCAGAACATCATGGGAGGACCCCCATCCTAGGCCTAAAACTAAGAGACAGTACACCAAATCAAAACCAACCCTAGAATGCATGTCCAATAATTTCATTCTGTTCATGACGCCAATGAACTTTGTGGTTGTAAGAACCTGAGAGGACAAATTAATTCACAGACAAGTCACCACGATTCGAATGATTATTTATTGGTTTAACAATTTTAATTACACTGATGAACAAAAAAAACAAAAATTTTCTGGCACGGAAATTTATAGATGTTATAGATTAATTTTGGGGTGCTGAATCCAAATCAGATCTCGGATTTACTTTATCACATCACATTTTTGCACAATCAGTATACCCCATTTTGATGTAATTTACCAGTAATATTAACTTTTCACTATTCATCACTGCAGGTTGTTATTAATTATCCTCAATTTATATGATTTTTAATTACTGTTTATTCTCAGGGATATGCAGAGATTTTTCTGATGACATCTGCCATCTCCGTTTTTTTCCTTTACATCAGACAAAGAAAATAGACAGTTTAAGACCGGCCTGCATTGAGGAAGGTTAGTGTTGCTGAATGTTGTTTGGCAATGATGCTTTTCCGCATAAAGGATTTTTGCCAGACACCGTCTCTTTTTTGGTTTTCAAATCGTTGTCATTCGTTCTTTTTGAGTGTAATACATTTTGATCGGAGGCGCAGCAGCAATGTACGGGTCCTGGAAAAGACAAATACATATTAACTTGTCCGTTATAGGCAATGATTGCAATTGTTTTCCTTTCTTTCTTTTTGTAGATCGCGAATAACAAGCAGTTTAGAGTGAAGGCAGCTATGGCTACAATATCCCAAAGAAGAAAATGTTGTAATGACCCAGATATATTTTGCTATATCTGTGGGAACTTCACTTTGAAGGATCAAAGGCGTAACATAAATACCTTTGTCAAGAAAGCGTACCTGGAAACCAGGACAAAATATGACAAAACATCATTAATGATCCTCTTGTTCAGAAAGAAAAAAAAAGACTGTCCTACCTCCACTGCACATAAAAATTATTTTGATGAAACAATTTGTCAAAGCCCTGGATCACAGTGGAGACTGCTTCCGCCACACATGCTCAACCTTTCCAAGTCTGAGTGGCGAGAAGAAAAAGGCAGGAATATTTGATGGACCTCAGATAAGAACACTCCTCAGAGATGCCCACTTTGCGACAACAATAAACACAGCAGAGGCTAGAGCTTGGAATGCTTTCTCTGATGTGTTAAAGAACTTCCTTGGGAACAGGAAAGACTGTGGAGGAACTGCTCTTGAGTTTTCAATCACTTGGATGTAAAATGAGTATCAAGTTGCACTACTTACATTGTCACTTGAGCAAGTTTCCAGAGAATCTGAGTGATTTTAGTGAAGGAAAAGGTGAACACTTTCATCAAGACATTAAAATAATGGAAGAACATTACCAAGGCAGATGGGACTCCAATATGATGGCCGATTACTGTTGGAGCTTGATGAAGGATGTTCCAAACACTGAACATCATAGAATGTCAAAGAAGAGGAAGTTAATGCAGCTGTAGCTCGATCTAAACTAATAAACTTATTGTATCTCTCTCTGTCTATCTCTTTCAATATGAGCATGAAATTACCATTTTTCAAAAATACAGAATATCTTGTATCTTGGAAACCTGATGTGTTGGACAAAAACTGATGGCATTTTTGGATTCAGCACCACAAAATTAACTAAAATTCATTCTACAACCTTGTGCCAGAAAAATTATGTTAACCAGTGTAATGAATGTTGAAGACAAGATACAGAATCACTTTGTCAATGTCAGTCAGCTTGTCAGTTCGCTCCTGTCTCTCTTCTCGTCTCCTTACTTGTCCCGAATAATGTCCTCTTTTAGCACATCCATATATCTCTTCTTTGGCCTTCCTCTTGACCTCTTGCCTGGCAGCTCCATCTCCAACATCCTTCTACCAATATAACCACTATCCCTCCTCTGCACATGTCTAAACCATCTCAATCTGGCCTCTCTGACCTTGTCCCCAAAACTGCCGACCTGACCTGTCCCTCTGATGTGCTTGTTCCTAATCTAGTCCATCCTGGTCACTCCTAAAGAGAACCTCAACATCCTCATCTCTGCTACTTCCATCTCTGCCTCTTGTCTTTTCCTCACTGATAGTCTCTAACCCATACAGCATAGCTGGTCTCACTACTGTCTTGTACACCTTTCCTTTGATTCTTGCTGCCACTCTTCTGTCAC